CCGAGCAGACACAATGACCAGGGGCCAGCGGACACCCTGGGCAGAAGGCCGACGAGACCCAAACACAGCTACTGACCAGTCATGACAGTCACTAACGGCAGAAGACAGATGGGCGGAGGGCAGGTGGGCGCTCTGTCCTGTCTCGAAATTGTTCTTAAAGTTTAAAGTCCTTTCAAATAAAGAGCTAAAAAAGTACATGCAGGGGTTGTCAGCTGGCGACCGTACTGGCTGACTTTAACCACAGATTTATTTTGGTCGACAATGCTGAAAGCAAATTCGAATTAGCTGCCAGGGACATGAATCCAGAGCCGCAATTTGAGACCCAGATTTACGGCTTCCATCCTAACCTCAGAAGCTGTGGCCCTGCCCGAGGGACCCCCACACCCTGAGCCACAGGGCGACGGGCTCCCGTGTCCCCCACACGTTCCCACGCTCACGGCCGCCCGCTGAGCCCCGCCCAGGGTGGGGGCAGCAGACGGGGGGCATGTGACCAGAGGCCCAGGCTGCCCTCGGACCTCCGTCCACAGCACCGTCCACGTCCTGGACGGTTCTAGAATGTGCCCCTGCCTCTGGCACACGCAGTCCCCTGCTGGGAGCTGCGTGACACCTTTGACATGGTAGGTGTCAAGGTGCCTGTGCTCCGCGCACAGCCCTCCCTCGTGAGCAAGCTCTGTGCGTGTGACCCTGGGTCACTGCACTGACTCTCCTGCCACCTGCACCCTGGGTGGTACACGGCCACACGGCCACACGCACACACGCACGCATGCACAGCCACACGCACACTTGGCCACACGCACACTTGGCCACACACACACACGCACGCACAGCCACATGCACACACAGCTGCACGCACACACACGCATGCACAGCCATATGCGTGCATGGCCACACGCACACATGCCCACACGCACACATGCACACACAGCCACACAGCCACACGCGCACACGGACATATGGAGTGGGGACACGGCCAGGACACGGAAGTGCCACCTGGGGCTGAGCCACCAGGTCCCCTTCTGGAAGACCCCCTGGGGGCTGCTCCGGCCCCTGCGGGGAGACCGGGTCTGGACGAGCCCTGACCCCCGTGGACTGGGCGCCGTCACCCCATCCGCACACGACAAATCAGACAGAGCCGGCGTTTGCTGAATGAGCGAGTGACCGGGTGTGTGACCCAACGAGCAAGCGTCGGGAGGACAACGGTCCTCGTGTTTGGCTGTGACGCTCACGACACAGACGATTTTATCGCCTGGACCGCCGTGCCACCTCCTGAGGAGGGCGAGCCCAGCAGCCTCCGCCCTGGGACAGCGGCCACTGCACCTGGAGCCAGGGCCGGTCGCCGCGGTCCCAGCCCCGCCGGCAGCTCCTCCTGCGTCATCATGGCCTCGGCAGCTGCTGCTGACTCACTGCCAGCGGCACATGACGTCTCTGCGGTCAGCACAGCCTGTCCGACCGGGCCGCAGCCAGCGGCTTGGTCCTCAGGGCCGTGACGTCAGAACATGCATGGGGGACCTTCCGTCTGGGCCAGCTCTCAGGGCCTGGCTGCTGGAGCATCGCCGGGGACCGCCACCAAACCGACCCCAAAGTCTATGGCGATGCTGGTGGGCGGCCTGGCTTGGGACTGGCGATCGGATGGAGGGGAAGCCCGCGTCGGGGGTGAGTTTTAGCCACCGGCGTCGGAACTGACGGGCAGCGAAGGTTTCATCGTCGCTGACCGAAAGGCGACACTGAGATCTCGATTTATAAGTTAAGAGTTCGTGACCGGCTGTGAGCAGAGCACCGCGGCCCCTGCTGTCCTTAAGTCGGGGACCTGGGCACTTGCCCTGGGGCGCTGACCATGGCGGGAGGTGCCAGGACTCAGGCCGGAATGCTCGGGAACTTTCCAGGGTGAGGGGCATCCGCTCCCCCGGCTGGGCTGTCAGATGCCCAGCCACAAGGCCTGAGCTCTGAGAGGTCACAGCCTGGTGGGCTCACGGGAACCGGAGCCGGAGCTGGACGCGGGGCGGCAGCAGCAGGAGCCCCCGGGCAGAGGCCACCGGCACCGGCAAATCGGCACAGCCGGCGTCGGGCGAAGACGGGGTCGGACTTGGATTATCGGGAGCTTTGGGGGCAGAGAACGTGACAGGAGCAGATCCCGCAGTGGCCTTCGAACACTGGGCCCAGGCTCGCGTGCGCGGGTGCAGGCTCGGCCAGTCGTGGCGACTCTGAACCGGACACGGGGCGGGGGTCAGGCCACGCTGGCTGTCGCCTGTCTGACCCGCCCCGCCCGCAGGCCCAGACGGAGCCGTAATGCGCGCGGGTCTCAGAGCACAGCCCTCGGTAGACACCAGGGAGCGGCTCTGGGCTTTGGGACCGGTGGCTGACCTGAGTTAGTTTTCTAAGAAAATAGTGAGGTTATTACTGTTTTTAAAAGTGGGGACCTTTGTGGCATAAAAGACCCTGGTGACAGACAGAACACCACAAAGGACGTCGGCGGAGCGGAAGGCCCGGCGGCAGGGCTGGCTGACCGCGCCCCGGTCCAGGCCGCGTCTCCCCGGCTCGTTCACTCCCTGGGGGCTGGAGAAGGACCCACCCACGGAGGGACAGTCTGTCAGCTGCACTGCAGGGAGCTGTCCGCCCCGGGGCCTGGCGGGATGTAACCGGAACCAGGGCCCGCACGCCTTCTGCGGCACCCAGAACCCCACAGTCACAAGGACACTGGGGGTGAAGGGTCAGGCCGGGCCAAGGCAGAGGCCAGCAGAACAGTCTTGTGGTGTGGTGACTCAGCTCACCGCCCGCTGGGAACGGGGAGCTGGTGACAGGAGCTGGTGACAGGAGGCTCTGTGGGGTCGGAGCGTGGGGCGGCCATTCTGAAGGGAGGGATGCGGGCTGCATGGTGGGGGGCAGACAGGTGTGAGGGCCTGAGGCCAGGAGCCCCGGGGACAGCCCCACTCAGACAGGGAGGGGGAAGAAAAGAAACCGTGACAAACAAGAATGAGCGACTCCCCACTTTTCAAATCACAGGGCTCACATCAGCCTGATCTGACAAGGATGGTGCGCGTGCGCGTGCGTGTGCGTGCGTGTGCGTGTGGGCACGTACGTGCATGTGTGAACTCGCTTGGTGCTTGGACACCACGAAGCCCTGACATCTAGGTGGCCTGTCCTCTCCCCTCGGCCCCTCCCCAGGCCGCTCGCCCCGCCCATCACCTCAGCCCCCTGCCAGCTCCCTGCTCCGCAGCCCGCCAGCCCCCTTCACAAGGCCACCCGACCTCAGACGTTCGGCTCCGGGGCCTTCAGAACAGCTTTTTCTGCTGCCAAATACGCCCAGCCAGAGACCGCGGCCTCTCACGGCCACTTCGCAGCGTCCCGATGGCAGAGGCACTGAGACGCCCCCGCCCCCGGCCAGGGCCAAGTGCACGGCAAGGCCGGCTCGCCGTGCCGAGTGCGTGTTATTCTCACACGGGCAACAGAGAAGTGCCCTGCCCCCATGGTGACCAGTGTCCCCACAGAAAGCAGGGGCACGTAAATACACAAGAGACAACATGGCTGCAGGACAGGCCACCCCACGGCATGGCTGAGCCTCTGCTCAGTGCCAGAGGTCACTGTGGCCACCGCCAGGACAGAACGCACGATGGCATCTGGGAGCAGGCAGCTTCCGACATCAGCAACAACACGGATGGACCCTGAGGACGCTCTGCCCAGTGAGACGCCGGCCCCTTGAGGACAAGTCCTGTGACTCGACATACATGTGGTCCCTAGACTCATGGACTTCATGGGGACAGAGCTAGGTGGTGGTGCCAGGGGCTGGGGTGGAGGAGAGGGTCAGCGTTTCATGGGGACAGTGTCCGTTTGGGACCATGAGAAGGTGGTGACGGCTCCACGACAATGTGAACGGGCCCAGTGCCACTGAGCTGTGCACTTGACAATGGTCAAAGTGGTAAACGTTATAAATATCTTACCACGATTAAAACATTTTTAATGTTTTGTAATTTTCGAAGGGGGAGTGGCTGGAGCGTGCCGGGGAGGAAGGTCCGTGGAGGGGACGGGCCTGCGGGGAGGGCTCAGCGCTGGACAGAGTCGGGGGAGGGGGGGTCCTTGAAGAATTGTTCGCTCAGGACAGAGGAGGCGACGTCTCCCCTGAGGAGGGAGAGGGTGGGGAGGGTGAAGGGACCCGTGTGAGCGTGCGGGTGAGGACGGGAGGGTGGCAGCCTCCAGCCCGGGGAAGCCCAAGCATGGACGCTGGCCAAGCTGGATGGCTGGACGGCCGGCGGAGCTGGCTCCTCAGGGGTCAGGGACGGGGCGCAGGCCGGGCCGGGGGCAGGAACAGCCTCGCTCGGCAGCCCGCGGGCGTCCCCGCAGAGCAGGGCGGGAAGAAACAGGTGTCCGGCACACAGCAGGTCCCCGGTTAATGCCAGGGGATGGGCGGGAATGGAAAACCCCGGGCAGGGGCCGGGCGGGGGGACACACTCAGTCTGCCGTCCAGCGGCCACAGACCTGCGTCCTTTAAAAACGCCCTGAAGACCCACCGCCGCGGGGAGCTGAAGCGACGCTGTGTCTCAGGACGAAACCGCGGCTCGAGGGAAGCGGCCCCTTTCCTGGAGGACGGTGCACGCCGCACCCCCAGCTCCCTCGTCCTTCTCACTCGGCCAGCGGCGGAGCGCGTGGCCACGACGGACCTCGCTCCTCGCCTCGCCAGCGGCCGGCATCGCGGGCAGTGAGAGCTGGCCACTCTACCCCCAGCTCCGAACAGGACGTTTCGTGTCGGGCAGAAGCGCCCCCCCCACACCTGTGAAGCTGCATCCGGCCTCGGAGGCCTCGTTACCCATCGTCCAGACCGCGTGCCAGCCCCACGCCATCCGAGGGACTTCCCACCGCACTTCAGACGCGGTCCCCGAAAAGGAGTTCCGGTGACAGAAAAACACCCGTTTGGGCACCAACGCCCCGAAGATCACACGGTCACCAAACATCGCTCGATGGGAAACCAGATCAAAGACGCACGCGAGGCCGGACGCTCTGGAACTCACCAGTGTGTGCTGGAGCCGGACGGTGACAAGCGGGGAGCCCGACAAGTTCTGGGACAGGGCGGGCGGCGGGGCCACCTCCAGGGAGATGAGAGGGCTGGCGGCAGACAGCGGGCAGCCCTTGTAGCTCGCCGCCTCGGCGATCCTGGGAAGGAGACGAAGAACTGTCACCCGGAGGAAGGGGACACGGCGAGACCCGGGGTTGGAACGGGCGGGAAGCCTCAAGGGTTTGAGACCAGGGTCCCTGCGGGGAGGAGGCTGGGTGTCCGCCAGGCGGTGCCCGCTGCTCCCTGCCAGGCGGGGCTGGTGCCGGTCCTGCGGGTCAGTGTTCTAACCCGCAGCTTGGGTCCGGTCGTCCAGAATCTGCCCTCTGGAAGGTGTGGCGGTGGCACCACAGTGAGCCAGGCCCTGACCTCACGAGTCACCACCTCACGGGGGAGGGGCCCAGAGGGCATGGAGAACACAAGGGCAAACAACAGGTTTGAAGGTCAGCGATCCACGTCACCCACTGCACGACCCTGGGTGAGCAACCCATTGTGTCTGCACCTCAATCTCCCTGGTGACAGCATGGCGTCATGAAGAGCTGTGTGGGGGACACCTGCCACCTTGCTGCCCAGCTCCTGGTCATTCTTCTCCTGATAGAGGCTCCCATTTCCCACCAGGTGACCAGCATCGTCCCCACCTGCAGCCCACGAGCTCTGCTATTGACTCCAAGAGTCAGATGGGAAATGCTGGGTCAGAGATTGTCACTTCCCTCTGCTTCGTGTTGGCCCTGAAGGATGAGGTCCTGGATCAGACGTGAGGGGAGAGGCTGAGCTGAGATGGGGCCAAGGGACAGCAACTGGACGCTGGATCAAGCTGCTCCTGAAGCCAGTCAACCCCGCACCTTTCAGCTTCTGTGATCTAATAAGCTTCCCCTTTGTTCAAAACGGGTTCGACTGGGTTTTCTGTCTCCTCCAAACCAATCGGCAGAACGCTGAGACTCACAGTGCTTGTCTCGTGCAGCCGAGGCTGAGACGACATGCAGGACCAGGGCTGGGGTGAGGTAGGCAAGGAGGCTGGGGTGCAGGGTTTAGGCCGGTGGCACAGGGGGTCTGGCACGTGCGGCTCGGCAGGACTCCGCAGGTGGGTAGCGCTCTGAATTGAGTGCCCGAAGTGTCTCTGCCTGTCCACCTGACCCTAGCCTTGCCGGCACATAGTACACTGTCGGCGAATGGCCGTTGCAAGCATTTGAGTCCTGGACGGCCGCGCTTCCTTCTTGGCCAGTCCGAACTTGATACCGCAAGAGCCTCAGTAGGAGCCACACAGTCCCCATCACTGTGGAGCCAGGGAACAGCACGCCCTGAAGGACCCTCCAGGCGGCTCTGCAGGAGTGTGCTAAGCCGCCGCCCCGCGGACGTGTGGACGGTCGGATGCTGTCCCCCGGCAGCGGCCTCCCTGGGCTTGGCCGTGGAGATGGGCAGGTCGTCCAGCCCTGTCCCGCGCCTCGTGTGTCAAACTCACGTGCCCTTAGATCCCAACTCCGTCCCCGGGGGTTTAAAGGACATTACGATTCCACTGCGTCCTTCCATTCTCGCAAAAAAGCCATAACCATGGGAAGGCTATGCACGGTGTGGGCGGAAGTCGCCATGCAGGCAGCTGGGCCCCAGAACGCCGCCCCGTGACTCTGCTCAGCTGCTCCTAGTCATGCGTGGAGCTGGGAGCTCTCCTAAAGGCGAATGCTGAGGACACCCAGTCGCCTCCCGGATAAAAGCAGGCGCTGCGTACCACGGTCAAGGGCCCTCGGCTTCGTCTAAACGAGGAATTCATGCAGAGCTCACAGTGGCCCTCGGAAATCCATCCTGTCACCCTTACTGCAGAGGGGAGAAGACAGGCGTCTGCCCAAGTCCCGCAGCCCATCGGGGCACCAGCTGGGAGAGGAGAGCCAGGGGACGGGAGCCCGCCCCGCGCCGGGCGCCCCGCGCCGGGTGCCCCGCGCCATGCGCCCTGCGCCGGGCGCCGGCCCCGCCCCTGCTCCTCTTGCCCTCTCGCCTGAGGGAGGGGGGACCCGGCAGAGGCCACGCTCGTGAGCTGCTCGGACGATGCTTTGCATTGAACACTGACTTCAGAACGCCACCCGAGCTGAAGAGTCGACGCATAAAAACATGTTCTCGTCGTGGAAAAATAAGTCTGTTTGGACGTCAGGAAAACAGTTGAGGACCTGGACGGGCTCCTGGCGGTGACGGGGCGTTGGTGCTGGCGGCAGAGGGCTGGGGGCGGGGAGCATTTGCCCATGCGTGGCAGGGAACAGTGAGAGTTGGTCTCTGTGACCCAAGTCATGGAAGCTTCCGGAGGGAGCATGGCAGAGGGACGGAGGGACCGGCATCCATCTGCCAAGCTTCAAGCACAGCCGGGCCTCGCCCTCGTCCACGGCTGCTGCCCTGATACAGTGGTGTGTCTAGCGTGCGCGTGCAAACTGTAGGCCTGGGAGCCCGCCTGGTTTTGTCAATAAAGTTTTATTGGCACACAGCCGCTCCCCTTCCTTTACATGTGGTCCGGGGCTGCTTTCACATCTCCAGGGCAGAGCTGAGTAGCTGTGGCAGAGACGTCAGGCTTGTAAAGCCCAAAATATTTATATCTGGCCCATTATGAAAAAGCCAGCCGACACCCGGCTACAGCGACCGTTCTGCTTGGTCACAGAAAATGCGGATGGTGGTATGAACGCCACGCCCCCTGCACGTCCCTGGCCGGGGCCCTCAGAGGGGCTCAGCTTCAGAAGGGAGAGCTATAAAAAAACCAAGAGGGGCCAAAGCCGGGCCCACTTTTCATTTATAGTCTTGGGTTTGGAGAAATTTTCCCCAAATAGTTGAGAAAGCATCTTTCGGAGGAAAGTGGGTTACGTCATCCTTTGCCGGTTTTCCTGAAGAATTCTGGAAGTCACATGCAGGGAGTGACAGGTCCCTTCCTTTGGCGATAAGGAAACTCATCAGGGTGCGGGCCTTCCCGGGCAATCAGACCCAGAAGGCGGCTTCTCAGCCAGGTCTGTGGCAAGATCATGACCGCTGCCTTCCGGACCGCGCCCTCCCCCTGGTGGTTTGGTAGGATGAGCTGTCCCTCACTTCCAGGAGCAGGGAGGAGTGTAGCGGGCAGGCGTGTGACGTCAGGGCTCAGGCATGTGCGCCGTGCATCAGTTATCGATGATCCGTCGGTGTTGAAAGTGCCGCCCACTCTGCGTCTGAAGCTGAACCCCTAGCTGCCGCGCCAGCGTCCGGGACGCATCCTCAGGGTCTTCCGCGGGCGGACGGCGGGA